TAAGCTGAGGTTTTTTTATTTAAAAACTATGTTAAATTTTGGTGGTCGTCTTATACACAGATAGTGCATGGGGGGGACGTAAGATTGGTTGCTGCCGGGAGCTGGAGATTGTCAGCGGCTATTTGGCGTGTCACTGGTGGCTGCGGCAAGGGCTGGTGTTTATTGGGTGTCGCTGTGGTAAATGGGCGGGCAACTGGCGGCTTCTGCCGGCGAGGGGACAGACGATAGGCAGCTTTAGCGGTGCATGCAAGTGGCAGCATATGTCAGGCGGGTGAGTGATTTCCAGCAATCTCCCCCCCCCAAAAAAATGCTCAACAACTCTGAGCAATCTCCCCCCCCCCCATTTTCTGAATTTTGAGTCCCCCAAAATAGGGGGCGTCTTATACACGAGGGCATGTTATACACGGAAAAATATGTTACATTCATCCTACAAGCAATTTGACCTTGGAGACTGTCTTCCGTGGTCATTTTTACTGTAAATACATAGGCTGTGGTACACAAGTGCTTGTGGGCCAGGAAATTAATAATTAAGACTACATACAGAAACAATGTTTGAGAAGGAGTTATAAAACTATTAGGCTAATAACTATGCAGAGTGTTAATGGTACCATCTGAAAACTATCAAATAGTGGTCTTCATAATCAACACAGCTACAGAACTTCAAATGTGGGTTATAAACACACATTAGAATGAGAACTGAAACTCTGTGTGGACCTTCTTAGGGCTTAGCCACGTTCTCTAACATAGAGTAAATTGTTCTTTCTGGGGTGGATCAGGGAAAAACTACAACTTTCTACTCCCACGACTTGAAATTTGGGCTGGCATTGTTACAAACTGAAATTTTTATAACTTTTGGGCTGAACTGAGAAATGAAAACAAGACCAAAACACAGCAGTCATAGAGGTGATGCTGCCTGTGGACTGCATCCAAGCAGCTTTTCATTCCAAAGCGTAGTGGTATTTCTAGGCTTGAAAAAGTAATATAGATTTAACCTTCATTGTTTCAGAGAGTGCCTTGAAATAGCTTGAGGGTATCTGTGTTTGACAGGTTCAATAAACAGAAAGCATTTCTACCTTTATTATATTGCACTACCCAAGAGGCTACTATTTTTATAAACAAACAAACAAAAAAAGATAACCACCTGTGTTTTTAGGATTAACTACCTTTTGATGCAAGCTCTCAAGGATCGCACATAGTAATGGTCAGAGTGTTTAGCATACTGTACCTTAGTATACCAAAAGGCTAAAATATGTTGGGAAATGTGAAACCGATTTTAAAAAAAACAAAAATCTGAAATGCAGCTGCAGATGGTCTTCTAGAAAATTTTGAACTAGAACTTTTTCCTATATTGGGGGGGTGGCGCTAGGGGCGCCTTGGAAGATGGCGGATATTAACATCTATCCAGCCCGCACGAGGTAATTAGAGGCTGATTATGGGGAGTAAATCAGCCTCCCTCATCTCTCCAGGGGGGAGAGATGCAGTTTTCACCCGCTGTTGCCATAAATCACCCCCGAGTTCGGAAGAAGGAGGGGGTGAGGCACTGTGTGCACAACGGGCCTCGGAACTCCTCCGAAGCTGCTTCCAGGTGCGAAACTAGTTGCGTTACTTAAAAGGGAAAAAATTGGTGAAAGATAACGAACGTGCTTCAAGAGAGGCAGGAGGTTCTTATCTGCTAACAATTTTACCACTGAAATGAAGAAGACTGAGACGGAAGATTACATCAAAGTACTACAGACATGGTATGTGGAATGGAATGCAACGGAACTGAAAGGGGGGGAAATGACTTTTTATTTTTTTGCTCTATGTGATTAACTAATAACCCTCCCTCTTAGAAGATCCGTCACAGCAACTAATTGCAAATGGGACTAAAAATGAATTGTGTGGGAATAATATGAACTTAAAGGTTTTACTCTGTGAAGGATTTGGAAAGAAGAAGGGCTCTCTCTGTGACGCAGTAAGAATGGAGATTTGATACGAGACCTGTGTTGCAGGAGGTTTGGTCTTGGGGAGGGCGAGCCGAAGATTTATTATTTTTGAGGAGATTGAGATCTGGAAGGGGCAGCCCTCCTGGAAAAAGAGTAATTTACGATGCAACAGGTCGGGAAAGTTAAAGAGCGAGCTTTTAGACTGTATTTCATCGGAACGACAAAATGGCGATTGCTTGCTCGAGCGGAAATGCCTGGACTATTGGATGAGAGTGATTTACGAGAGAGCAGCACAAAGCCCACACAGAAACACACATAAGACTGTTTTTTTCAACCCACTTGCGGAGCAACTCGGAGGTGAATGAAAAGGAAAATGAGTAATGACAAGGATTGAGAAGAGGGGACTGGAAATATCATTCTTAAGATGAAAGCAGTACAAATATTCGAGGATTGGACTCCTGCCGATCAAGAAGCATGGGTACCCCCCCACAAAAATTTATAATTTGGAATACAATTGGATTACATGATATGTATTGTTATAATTTGGGTTAATTGGTTTGATGTGTTTAATTTGGTAATATGAAACTTAATAAAAATTATTTAAAAAAATAATGAATTTTTTCCTATATTAATTTGCATTGACAAATGTTCAGTTTGCTTTGGAAATTGTTCTGGTGCCCTAGAGAGTGACCTAATTTAGCTTGTTTGCTTTACTTGTATTTAGTTAATGAAGCTAAACTCCCATGCTTACCTAATACAGTGGTACCTCTGGTTATGAACTTAATTCGTTCCGGAGGTCCGTTCTTAACCTGAAACTGTTCTTAACCTGAGGTACCACTTTAGCTAATGGGGCCTCCTCCTGCTGCCGCGCCACCAGAGCACAATTTCTGTTCTCATCTTGAAGCAAAGTTCTTAACCCGAGGTACTATTTCTGGGTTAGCAGAGTCTGTAACCTGAAGTGTCTGTAACCTGAAGCGTCTGTAACCCGAGGTACCACTGTATTGTATTTGCAACTGGCATTCATTCATCATTACTAATGAACTTATGGAACAGAGCATTTTCCACAGAAAAATAAGGCACTGGGTAATCTTCTGCCCCACACTGCTGTCTACAAGGGAAAGGTTTTCTTCTCTGTATTCTTAACCCCTTTCCGCCTTTGACCATTTTCTCACTAACTGCTTCCCCATCCAAGAAACAAGGCATTCAAATCCTTTCTCCTGCTGGTAGGCAAGCAGGCAAAGTGGAGCCTATTTCGAGTGAAGGGGGGGACAGCCTAAAGAGATGGGTTAATACTCCTCCCACTGAAATGAGATTTGCATTCCACCCATGGCCACAATCCAGCTTTTAAGAAATGGCGTTTGTAATCTATTTCCCAGGCCCTGAATTTTGCATAAATCCAAGTTTAAAGTGAATTTTAAGTGCCTTGCCTTGGTGAAACGTCCTTAGGAATTCTGAAGGTCATTGAAACAATTTCAATGAGATTCCCAAAGGCAGTCTCCAGAGGATACACCTCTTGTATCATTTTGCACAAGGCCATTCCTCAAATAATATATTGGTAAAGAATGAATGAATGAATGAAGCAGTTTCACCTCTGTCTGTTAGTGCCAAACTTGCAATTCTTCAGCAGCTAGAATTTGCAGGAGAAACAAAGGACCTCTAAGCATTAACACATGAATAATCACAGATACTGCCTTTGTTTTTGGATATTTTCCCACATTTGGTGGCAAAGTAACCTTGGCTGAGATGCAAAGGAGTCCTTTCAGTCAGCAGCCTCTCACTTTCAATTCCCGTGCATCATCTTGATCAAGTGTGCAGAATGACACATCTACTCTGTTGTATAAAGGTTCTGTGAAATTCAGATACACCTCTACTACTCAATGCTTCTTTTTGATCATCCAAAAGTAATAGTGAGGTAATACCTTTATTAGTTTCAGCTAAGGGCCAAATGTGACGATGATGCTTTAAATGTGTAAATTAAATGTGCTTGAAAACTTATAGCTGTGGTGTTTCCGATCAGCATCATGGCATGCAGGGAGAGGGTAGGTAACTTTTTGCCTCTGCAAAAAAATATCTCAGGTCCCACCAAATGCTGCAGACAGAAAAGTATGGTCACTGTCCCTTTGGAAATATAAAAGGCAGCAGTTACTGGGGTTGTCATCTCTGGTAGGAGGACTTCATGTTATGCACAGTGTCCTGCAAACAGTCCAAGGAAATTGCCAGGAGAGTGTGTGACAATCAACCTAGAAATGCAATTGCGTCTTTCCTAGTCCATGAATAGCTCCACAATTGGCCTTGGGCAAACTAGATATTGACTATTGCGTAATCTCCTTTGCAATTATTTCTAATAAGCTTAACATTTGAACCCCAAAATGATCTCTCTGTAATGAGCTACAATACATTAATCATTACTGAACAAACCAGTCTACTCAGATGCCAACCTTGTTCTCAAAGGAGACCCCCAATGTGACTAGCAGTCATTCTCTGCAATGACTCCTCATTTGCGGAATGCTCTCCCCAGGGATGGTACCTTCATCATACATCTTTAGGCCCCTGGCAAAAATGTTCCTCTTCAACCAGGCCTTGGGCTGATTAACATTCTTTGTCCTTTTAAATGTGTTTGTAGGAAGGAGGGGCTATTGCTTTGCTTTGTTTTTATTATGCATTTTGTGTTTTTATTTTGTATTTTTATGTTGTGAACTGCCCTGAGATCTTCAGATGAATGTCAATATATTACTTTAATAAATTAGTAAGTGAAAGGGAATAATATTGTCTTGAGCACTGGTCTCCACAAAATAGGGACAAGTCACCTCCAACCAAAAACTAGTGCATCCACCAAAAGAAAGAGAAACACTTGTCTGTGGTATAAATTAAATGTGTCAGTGGTATCCCATTGTTTTCAAAGCAGGCACAGTCAAGCAGCTGAATGCTGCAATTGACTCAATGGCAACAATACCAAGTACTATGGACAGCTGCCTCAGTGCATCCACACTGGAAGCAATGGGGTGCCATCAAAATATCCCAGTCATGCCACCCCTCCTAGAAAACATTATACACAGTGCCCTCTGTCACACTCACCCATCTTTGGCCAGATGATGCCGGAAGAAATCATTGGCAGCTAGTTTGATGGCTTTTTCTGGAGTCACTAGTGTCAGATTCACTGCAGCCCCTGAGCAAGAAATATGGAGAACAGAACATTAAGAGCATTAGGGAAGACTGAAAAGCTAAAAAAAAAGTGTTTTCTTGGTGACCATCAACCTCACCCAGAAAACTGAGCTGGGGGAGATAAGGCACTGTAGAGTCAACAGAAGCTAGAAATGCAGACCAATTCTAGGAGCTACACCAGAAACAAAATGTATGCTATGTTGGAAGCCAGTGGTGGTACCCATTTCCATCCAAACCAATTGCCTCCCCTGCCACACTGTGGCATAGGATTCATTCAGTACTAACTGGGACCACGGATTCAGATGGGTCAGGGAGGAGGGTTTTTCCTCTAGTGGGGCAGAGCCAGCCAGTCCACTGCCAGCAATCAGATGCTGCTTCAGTTACATATGCACAAACTGCTACTTGCCCTGCATCATCTAGATCAGAACCTGTGGCCCTCCAGATGTTGCTGGTTTACATCTCCAATAATCCCTGCCTATTGTCCATGTTGGCTGGGGCTCATGGGAGCTGAGAGCCCAACAACTTCTGGAGGGACGCAGCTCACCCTCAAAAAAAAAGCCCTCCTTCAACAGTTCAAGGCTTAGAAGGAGTCAGTGAATTTTTCTCTTCCAGAGGCATGCCTTTCTTTCCTCTGCCAACCAAACAGGTTACATCTGTCAAAAAGTGTTAAAAGGCATTGCTCCCTTTAACATACTATGCCCTGACCCAAAGGTCATGCACATTAATGGAGCACACCTCAATTCTGGGGGGAAAGAGCTAGGAGATGGAAACCCTGGTTAAATTCTCACCTCAACCATCTGTTCACTGGGTAGCCTTAGACAAGCCACTGTCTGCTTCACACACGTGTACATCCAGCGGAAATTAAGGTACTCATCTACTTTATAGAATTGTTCTAAAAATTGCTGAGTTCATGTATGCAAAGCACTTTGATAAGTATTTATTTTGCACCACAAAAAAGAGAGAGAAGTATTTCCTGTAGGAACTCTGCATAAGCATCTCTACTTAATTAACAGCACAGACTGACCTAACTGTGACCTCAAGCTCCTTTGTTCCGGAAAAAAAAACTTGCCTCAGTTCAAAAAGTGTGTTGAATCTATGCATCCCTATCAGGGTCAGCATCAGGGGTTGGCAGCTAGTTTGCAGCAGACCATACCAAAGCACCTTTCTCCAGTTTCAACAGAGTAGGCACACACCCAACTCTGTCCTCTGGTATGTAAACAGCACGTGACATTCACATGGTGAATGTGTGTACTCTATTATCGGCAGCAACAAACAGCAAATCCCTCTGAAGGCATTACAAACTGTGTGCTGCTCTGGATAACAAAGGAAAGCAGCATTAGCGACACCAGAGTGACCCATGCCACTGAGGTCACTTAGGAAAGGGAATCCAGTTTCGGCCGCTGCATTTCCCCCATGAGAAGGATGACCTCTCGTTTGCTTGTTCCCCAACTATGTAGAATTCACAGAGTACTTTGCATGAGGAAGGGCCATCTGCAGTAGATTAGGGCAAGAGCCATCTCCTGAACAATCTCTTCCTCTAAAGGTTGCTTACACTTGAGATTCAGGGCCAAACTAGACATGGTGCTAAAGGCATCCCTGGGGTCAGGAGTCAGAACAGCTGCTGAAGCCCTCACCCAACAGGGAACCACTGCCACCCACTGGAGCCCTGTTTCTTCTCTTCTTTGCTGTTGTCACTTGTTCACCTGGCCCTCTAAGCTAGCGGGAGCAAGGAGGAGAAACATCCGCCTCATCTTGCTTTGCCTCTCCCCTCTAGCCAGCTGGGGAGGCTGGGCCCCAAAGGGAAAGGTCATGGGAATGGGTATTAGCAGGAGAAGTGGGAGCTCATTCAAGGAGCGTAGAGCTGGCACTGATTCCTATCATCTAGGTAACGGCTATCAAAGACAGGCATATTCTTTCTTGCTAAAGGTAAAGGTAAAGGGACCCCTGACCATTAGGTCCAGTCGTGACCGACTCTGGGGTTGCGCGCTCATCTCGCTCTAGTCACTCTCCCACTTGAACTCCTTTCAGCATACAAAAACTTGGTGCACTGTATACTAATACTAATGAAACAGCTTCTGGGTCAATATTTTTGTATCTCAAATGAAATAAAGTCAGGGAAAATGTATTTCCAGATAAAAGGTCAATCTGTGATTTTCTTCTAAATCTTTAATGTTTTCAGCAAAGCTGCTTGATGGGGGAAGGGGGGAGCTATAATAATCCTTGTCCTCAGTAACCCAGTGTGGCTGCAAATCACTGGAGAAAGACAAGCACACCTCCACTGACTCCCAGTATTTTTTAGTCTCCAAAATGCAGTCCTCGGCATACAGGCCAGGGGTGCTGATGCTAGACATTGCCTAATTTACTAGGGCTGAAATGTAGAATTGCTCATAAATAAGGCTGCCAGGCTTCAGACGCCAGCAAATGACTGGGAGGCAGAGCAGACAGTCACCATAAAGCCAGGACTTTACAAGGTTTTACTAAGGGCCCCATAAACCTTTGATAGATTGACTACACATCAAGAACAACTACCTGGTTGATTTGTTGCTCTACTAAAATGCTTCATGTATTCCTTTCCATTTAACAAAATCCTCTGCATTTCTCATAAAATATATTTTATTATAAAATCTTGTTCTATATACATCCTTCTCATGCAAAGTAGTACCGTTTAATTTGTTGCTTTAATTGGTAATGAATCAACACTGGGAAATTTTTGCTAATCGTCAATGCACTTTACAAGTCAACCAGTTTATTAAAAAAAAAAAGTCAGCCATATGGAAGCATTAAATATTAGAAAGAAACCAGATAGAATGTGTGGTTTTTCTTCCCTTCTGCATCAGTCATCTAATTCCCTGCCATACATTTGCAAATGCAACAAAGCTTCTACTTTTGTTATCAGAATAAATTATCAAAAATATATGCAGTTGTGTATAGGCAATGTCCTAATCCACACAATTGTGGTCAATGAATCTGAGGGTTATGCATATTTTTGCACCTATCTGCATTTTTTGCACCTATCTGCAGGCTAAAGAGAAAATAAATTTCAGCAGAGCTGATGTTTGACGCAAGTGGGATCAGCATCAATGTACTACTGCGTGCTGCTGGAGGACACAATCGGAGGGGTTATAGAACAGCCACAAAGTGTATAAATATACTATGTATTGAAGTTAAATAAAGCCTCATTATGTTCCATCCAGCAGCTAGGAATAGTCTGCCTGTTACAGTGGGGGCCTGGGGATGACGTTGAGGGTATTCTTAGCAAGAAGGCTGCCTGCCTTGGGTGGTCTGCGCTGCTCCAGTTCTGTGCTACAGAGACCGTTTGGCAAAGGTTTGGCCCTGGCACACTCACAACGCAAAAGGAAACCGATGCAGAGCAAACTGGAGGGAAGCTTCATGCCCTTAGTGTCCAAGGGCTAACTAGAATAGGAGCTGCCATCCAGAAACTGTATTGAGATATTTAAGGAGCTGCAAAGGAATCCCACCCTTTCCTGACTCAAAGTAATCTGCTTTGTACATCTATATTTTCCCATGTGTCCAGAGAGGGCGCATGATGAACAATGAGCTTGGCACTAAGTAAAATCTCAACTCCTTGCTTGTTACAACAGATTTGTCAGAGCTGACACAAAACACAGCCATTTGCTTCCCTGTCTAGGGACCGCTCTCCACTCAACTGCTCAACCAGCCAATCCTAATGCAGCTTCCACTCCACACACCTCTGTCTGTCTGCCCACCACCCACCTGTAACTTGGCAGCAAGAACACTTTGCCCTCAACAGTCAGTCACGGCATCCCCATTGCCCAAAACCAGTCCCCTTTCCTGGGAAACCTGACCAAGATCTGGTAAGATCCTATTCAACTGGGAGAAACAAACTTCAAAGGTCATTCAACTTGGACTTGCGTAATCAACTAATTAAAGGTAAACTGTCAATAGTGAACTGTGCTGCCAAGGTGATACAACCATAGTTTACTGCATGAATGCTTCTTATAAACAGATAAATATCTGCACGCTCTTGCAATTCTATACTACAAGAAAATGAATGAGATTCCAGTTGTGACTGCACCCTCCTAATCACATGAAAAACTTCCAAGGTTTACAGCTGTTTGAACTCCAGCTATGTGTCTTTGATCTCTGACCACACACAGAAATATGCAAGCCAAGATAGATAAGACATGTAAGATTAACTGAAAGGTAAATTGGCTAATTTGTTACGTGCTTCCTCCCCTCTGCAAGCACCGACTACTTTTTATTATCTAAGAGAGCCTTTCTGCTTTTAAACAGCTGCATGATTTGCAAAAATTCAGCACAGATGAAGTTTTTCCTCAGTGTGAGGATACAGTGGTGGGAAGAGCTGCAGCCTGCTGGGTTTCAGCTTCTCACGCAGCCACTAAAGTCATAGGGAAAAAGCAGCAACTGTAGCAACCAAGAATTAGCCTCTGGAACCCACTGCTACAATTGCTGATCCCCTTGGACAGGAGCCTGGGCACTTAAAAAACTGCAGTGTGTAGTTTCCATCTTGATAAAAAGAATCCCTTCCACACTCTTAGTCAGAATCAAAATAAGAAGTAAAAGTAGCAGTAATCTTTTCCACAGAAACAAATCCTAAGCCAGATTGTCCTATAAAGCCATTCTGAAGTCAAGAATTTGAGCACACCAAAGTAAACACAAACCAAAATACTTTCCCACTATGAAGTTTATTTTCAAGCAGTCTCCTGTTGGGGAAGTATTTGCGTCTGATGATACTGCCTTTGTTCCATCCAGTATTTGGTTGAATTTGGCACTGGATACAAAGCTGTTTTTTATTCAGGGCATAACCCAAACTCTTAACGGTGTGGTAAAAAAGAGTGAGGGAAGAAGCCATATTCATTGCAAACTGGTAAACGCCACAAAACATTGCATGCGAAATTAGTGTGAGTAAAAATTCTTCAACTCAAGTAAAAGAATACCAACATTGCACTACATTGTATCTGTAAGCACAAGTCAGTGTCTAGAATTCTACCCTCTTTGCAGTAAAGATGAACTAAGATAGATTTTGCTAAAGATAAAAATCTCCTGAAAAAGAATCCTGAAAAAGATGGTATCAAGTGGCATCCTCCAGTTCTTCTACATATTTCTGTCCATTTCTGCTTCATATTTCTTTCCAATGGAATAGTCCCCTACTGCACTGCTCCAATTACATTAGTTGATTCAGTTGTTTTAACTGATTAATCAACTGAATCATTGTGCTGATGTCAAATAAATCTGCATAAAGTAAGAAGGATAAAAACAAAAAGAAACAAGAAAGCACTTTGCTAAATGATGCGGGCATATCTCATAGCCAATGCCACCTTGGTGGTGCAGGAACTCTGCTCTTCTTATTCACCATATCTCACCCCATAGGCAAACCTACACAAAAATTAGTGCTCTATGCCTGAGAAAAGCTTTGCCTGTTGAATTTCAAATTAGCATGCAGATCCTAAAGGCACAGAACGCCAGGACTAAATGTTGGCAACCCAAACCCAGGAATAACATATTTTCCTCCTTCTCCAACAAGGCTTCCTACTGTGATAAATCATTCATAATAATGCAGCTTAACACTGACCTCTGTACATGCCAAAATACCCTTCGGAACGGATTGTCTTGATAAGGCAGTCAGACCTATTGAAAAGATGGAGGACAAGAAAAGTCACTGGTTGGGGTTTTAAACATAGTTTCAGCCCCTTGATACAACACAAGTCATTACAAATAGTGTTTTAAGTCTGGCCACATTGCTCAGCTAGCTGCTCTTTGTCCTGTGTTAGTCATCTGGCTGCAGGTGAGAAGAGCAGGCAATTCATACACCTCAGCAGGCTTCACTAGAAAGGCAGAAAAGAGATGGAACATTTTTTCCAGTTTTATGCTAGTGGAAAAATGGAAGTCTTTGTAAAAACCGATACAAGACCAGGTGCAGCAAAAAGCAACAGCACCTCTCTCTGAAGGATGCACTGCCTTTCATAAGACATAGCAGAATAACCCCCAGGAGTTATCCTTAGCTAATTAAAAGGCAATGCCAGAAGCAAAACTGCTTTCCTGATCTACAGATTTCTTTGGAATCATGTACCTAACACTTTTTGCTTATCCCCATGCTAAAGCCTACAGATGAACGGGGGGCATGCAGTGCAATGCTATTCTTGTCCACTCAGAAGCGTCTGCTGAGTTCAATGGTACTTACTCAAAGGTAAGTGCATATAGGATTGCAGCTGTAATCCGTTAGGAATATTGAGTATGTAGGGGCTTATATTGGATTTTTGATGGCTCAATTTTTAAAGTTAATACCCTGTACAAATGATAACCAAGAAGTTAATCATGAATCATTTCAATTTTTAAAATTGAAACTTAATATATATATATATTATGTTCTATAATAAGAGATGACAGGGTGGGTGCAGGAGAAGGACTGTTGCACATTTGATAGTAGTATAGGAGAAAGAAATTCCCTCTTCTAAACAACTACTGAAAGTGCAACACCCAAATGTAAAACCCTTGTTCAAATAAGAAAAAATAAGCACAGTACTGCAAAGCAGCTCTACTATGCAAATTGATTTTTCAAAAACGAAATGATTGATGAATAACTACTACACAATTTCTTTCACTTCGTAACTCAAGTACTTACATGCTTGTGTACATTCTATGGCCATTCTGCTGATTCTGTAGGCGAGTTTTTGCCAGGTCAATAGGAAATACACAGGTGACCCCAATTAGCCCAGCTATCCCTCCATTGATCAGCTTGGCAGGTAAACTGTGAGGAAAAGTAATAGAGAGGCACAAGAAGACATCAAAAGGTGAAATAACTATAGCAGCCATATGTTCAATCAAGATACATTAACAATAATAATAATAAATAATAATAATAAATTTTATTTATACCCTGCCCTCCCTGGCCAGAGCAGAGCTCAGGGCGGCTAACACCAGTAAAATTAAAATAAAAACATAATGGGGGGGGGACCAATTTAAAATACAGGTTAAAATACAATTTAAAATGCAGCCTCATTTTAAAAGTAGCCCATAGATCAAAACCATAAGGGGAAGGAAACATAAGGGTCAGACTGAGTCCAAACCAAAGGCCAGGCAGAACAGCTCTGTTTTGCAGGCCCTGCGGAAAGATGTCAAGTCCCGCAGGGCCCCAGTGTCTTGTGACAAGTCGGGGCCAGTACTGAAAAGGCCTTGGCCCCAGTTGAGACCAATCTAAGCACCTTGCGACTTGGGACCTCCAAAGTGTTGTCATTTGTGGACCTTAAGGTCCTCTGCGGGGCATACCAGGAGAGGCAGTCCTGTAGGTACTAACACCTCAGAAAAATCTCATTGCATCTCAGGGACCAACAGATTTGTTGTGGTGTAAGCTTTCGTGGATTAGAGTCCCATTCATCAGATAGGTCAGTTATGGAGACTCCTCTTCATGAAAGGTTATGGTACTTAAGGAATCACAGGACTCTTAGCTGGTTTTTCCACACCAGACTAGAGTTCCTCATTTGGAATGTGCCTATTCAGATACAAGATAAATGGGTGCTGCTGTCAAGCAAGCATGTTTACAATTGCCATAGAAAAATCTACAAAATCTCATGGTCACAGGACATCAGAAATTTTTTTCATGGAAAGCCTGAGATTCACATAATTCTTTTATGATTGCAACAGTTGCAGAAAATAAAAAAATAGCAGTGGTAGTAGCAGTAGTAATGACTCACCAGTCGCGCAAAAGCAGTATTATAGAACTTACTTGCATTTGCTGATTTCAGAATAAAGAAGCCTAAGAGCAGGAAACCCACCTCTCAAACGAAGTTAAGTTTAAAAGAAACCCCCCCCCAAAAAAAAAACTTTATATCTTTGTGCCCAGTCATATATTAGGGCCTATAATGCCTGGCACTGAGCCTATATCAGAATGTTTATCAGAAGGGGGGGGGAGTGAGATGTGAGCTCCACTTTGGTCAAAGGGCAAAAGAACTCTGAGGGCTTTTGAATAGGACAGGAATGGGACAGCTGGTCATGCAGAGGATGGTCTCAGCAAGAGAGACATAATAGCCTTAAAAAAAAAAAAGTTATCCAGAGCTGATTATTCCGAGTTTGTATTTCATGATTTATAAACAATTAAAATCATGGAGCCTTCCCTTCCTCTAAATCTGAAACTATAGTAAATTAACACTGGCCCACCTTGGAAATTCAGCAGATTATGAAAAACATCCCAGCGTAAAGTTTATAATGACAATTCCATTGTATTCTGCAGCACAATTCTGCAAGTTGACAAAGAATCTCTTACAGCAAACAGGTCTAAACCAGTATTCTCACTCTCCAACCCACACTCCCTGGTGCGTGTTATGCAGCCTAAATATTATCAGTTGAGTACAGCCAGGCAGCTGGACTAATATAAATCCAGACACTTACCCACATGTAAAATAAACCATGAAAACAAAGCCCACTATACTCTCAAAATCAGAAACACAAGAAAATCTGAAAGGGCCAGACTACAGAAGTTGCATAGAACACATGGATGAACAGAAAAGTCTTTGTCTGGCACCAAAAAGACCACAAAGAGCAGGCATCCCCAAACTCGGCCCTCCAGATGTTTTGGGACTACAACTCCCATGATCCCTAGCTAACAGGACCAGTGGTCAGGGATGGTGGGAACTGTACTCCCAAAACATCTGGAGGGCCGAGTTTGGGGATGCCTGACAAAGATGGTGCAAGACTAGCTTTCATTGGAAGGCTAGTGCATAAGTGAGTGCCCCCCCCCCAAATTGGTTATCTGCCTTACTTCATTGGGCAGGGTCACCTGAATCAAGTCTTTGAAGAGGGTCTTAAAGTTCCACCACATGAATATGGCAGAGGACATTTTTTCAATCTGGTCCCAAATGGTTTAGGCTCTATGGATCAAAATCAGACCTTTAAATTGGGCCGAGAACTGGACGAACACAGTTAATATAGTCAAACTGCCCAGAACCAGCTATTAGTATTGTGCCCTATTCTGGAACAACTGCATTTGCAGACTTTTTTTATTAGGTGGCCTACATACAATGCATTGCAATAGTCTAAAATGGAAGGTTACCAGAACATGGGTAATTGTAGCCACACTATCTTTACCCAAACAAGGTTGCAGCTGGTGAATTAGCTGAAGCTGATAACAGCGCTTTGAGGAACATAGGTCTCTTAGCTTCAAATGAAAGTGCTGGATCAATAAGCACCCCAGATTGCAAACTGTGGTCCTTTATAGGGGATGGAATCCCATGTAAAATAGGCTGAAAATAATCACCTGGGTGAATGAACCACTATCAGCATTCTTGTTTGAACTGAGTCTCAGTTTATTCACCCTCACCCAGCCCATAATCACTCCCAAATACTGGTTCAGGGTTGTGACAACCTCAGCTAAGTCCAACGAAAGCGAGAGAGAAAGCTGGGTGCCATCTCCTTATGGGTGACAAATCATACCAAATCTCAGGATAACCTCTCCCAGCAGCTTCATGTAGATGTTAAACAGCATGGAAACCCTGTGGACTCACAAAGCACTAAGGGGTGAAGAGTATTATCCAAGCACTACTTTCCGGAAATGGCTATCCAAAAATGAGTAGAACCACTGCTGGGCAGTGCCTCTCAAACCTACCCTAGACAACCGATATCAAGAAGGACACCATTTGTGATGGCACCAAAAGCCTTTAAGGAGTCCAGGTCAGAGAATCAAAAGGGTTGCGCTTCCCTTGTCTTTCACTCAAAAAAAGTAATCCCACAGGGCAACCAAGGGAGTTTGTTGTCACACAGCTAGTAGTTCTCTGTGTCGTCCTATCCTGCATTTTTAAAAAACCACACACATTAAAACCTGCTGTCTCAATTATAAGATGTGCCAGTAAGAGGATCTCTTTTCCCTGAAACCATTAAAATAACAAAATCCCCAACTCTTTGTCAGAAGACAACACTCATTGTCTAGCTAAGGCTCTCTCTACAAAAGCTGCTCTTAGGTAACAATGAAATTGGAAAATCACTCGTGAAATAGACAATGGCTGGACGTAAGCAGAGCCAAAGAATCAGAAGACATTTTATCAAGGGGCAACAGCAAGTAGAAAAGCTGCTCAGATTCTCAGAGGGAGACTCGCTTTTCAGGAAAGGTCTAGCAGCACACCCGAAATGGTTGATGCGGAAGAGCCCGCCATTAAGCAGAAGTATCAAAGTCAGGCCTTGACAACTCACCTGAGCATTACGTGCCATTTGCTGTGATATGTTCTGTGTCTGTTAAACAGCTCTGTTGTCTGTTGAACAGACACTGCAAGAACACTTGCTTGATTCCATTCTAAAGTCACAGATTGCTGCGACGGTACAAAACAACAAATTAGCTACATAATTACAGCGCATGCCAGGGGTTGGCAACCTTTTCATCCTAGTGGGCCAGATTCATCATCATCTCCCATCCCCCAGTGGGTAGAGTAACCCACCTGACAAAGCTGAACCATGGGGTTGGGGGGGAGTAGTCTGCTTCCCCAGCCTGCTTCCCCAAAGGGAACAAGCATCCAGCAGGACTAAACCCATCAGCTAACATCACCCAGTGAGTGACAGGCAGCTGTGGTTTGCGGGGAATGACCTCACATGCCAACTTGGAGCGCCTGTCAGGCCAAGGTTGGCCAGCGAGCCAGAGGTTCCCCACCTCTGGTTCATGCCCTAACATCTTGTAGTTCATTGCCTGCTGGTCAAATGTAAACCCACAAAATATAAAATACTTTGGTTTATTAAGACAACAATGGTGACATAAATAATAGATCCAGTTGCAGATGGGTAGCCGTGTTGGTCTGCCATAGTCAAAACAAAAAAAATTCCTTCCAGTAGCACCTTAAAGACCAACTAAGTTAGTTCTTGGTATGAGCTTTCGTGTGCATGCACACTTCTTCAGATACACTGAAACAGAAGTTGCCAGATCCTTCTATATAGTGAGAAGGTGGGGAGGGGTATTACTCAGAGGGGGGTGGGAATGGGTGATTGGCAGATGGCTGTGATGAGCTTGTTGACGACTCTTAAGGACGGCAATAGGTCTTACAGGAAAAAGCAAGGGGTGAGAAGGTGAAAATGGCTTTGTCATGTATAGTGAGATAAGAATCCAATGCCTTTGTTCAGGCCAGGTGTCTCCATGGTTTTAAGTTTGGTAATGATTTGCAATTCAGCAGCTTCTCTTTCCAGTCTATTTCTGAAATTCCTTTGTAGTAAAACAGCTACTTTGAGATCTTGTATAGAATGTCCTGGGAGATTGAAGTGTTCTCCTACTGGTTTCTCTGGTTTCTCTGTCTCTGAAGCAAGGGGCTGGGGGGAGATAGCGATCTCCCTGCAGCCCCTTGCTGCAAAAGACGTCGGGGGAAGCGGGGAAGCGAAGCGCTTCGCTTCCCGCTTCCCCCGGACCTCTTCTGAAGCAAGGGGCTGGGGGGAGATCGCTATCTCCCCCAGCCCCTTGCTTCAGAAGAGGTCCGGGGGAAGCGGGAAGCGAAGCGCTTCGCTTCCCCGCTTCCCCCTGACGTCTTTTGCAGCTGTTCCGAAGTGGGGCGGGGGGGCGGGGTCACCTGCCCCAGCCGCCCCACTTCGGAAAGCTGTTCCGAAGCGGGGAGGGGGGGCGGGGACATCTGCCCCAGCCGCCCCACTTTGGAAAGCTGTTCCAGGAACAGCTCCATAGGAACCTCCATAGGCGCCCGTCACCTCTCCAGCCAGGAGAGCGCGCGCGGGGCTAAACCAGCCCCCCGCGACCCTCTCCCAGCTGGAGAAGTGACGCGCGCCTATGGCAGGAGCCTCCATAGGCGCCCGTCACCTCTCCAGCCGGGAGAGCGCGCGCGGGGCTAAACCAGCCCCCCGCGACCCTCTCCCAGCTGGAGAAGTGACGCGCGCCTATGGCAGGAGCCTCCATAGGCGCCCGTCACCTCTCCAGCCAGGAGAGCGCGCGCGGGGCTAAACCAGCCCCCCGCGACCCTCTCCCAGCTGGAGTTGTGACGCGCGCATATGGCAGGAACCTCCATAGGCGCCCGTCACCTCTCCAGCCGGGAGAGCGCGCGCGGGGCTAAAGAAACCATAGCCCCGCGACCCTCTCCCAGCTGGAGAAGTGACGCGTGACTATGGCAGCAGCCTCTGAAGGATTCACCGAAGCCTGGCGTGGGGGGGGCGGAGAGACCTTCTCCCCGCGCCAGCCTTCGGATGGCTGTCCTGAAGACTTGGGGTGGGAGAAGGGTTTTCCTTCCCACCGCCAACATTCAGAATGCTGTTCTGAATGTTGGCGGTGGGGAGGAAAAACCCTCCTCCCACGCAAGCCCCGGGAACAGAGGGAAAGCGCTGCGCGCCTTCCCCTCTGTTCCCGTACCTGTGCTGAAGGCTTGCGGTGGGGAGAAAAGCCCTTCTCCGCACCGCCAGCCTGGCAAGCGGTTTCCCTAGGAACGCATTAATTGATTTTCAATGCATTCCTATGGGAAACCGTGCTTCGCAAGACGAAAAATTCGCTAGACGACAAAAATTGCGGAACGAATTAATTTCGTCTTGCGGGGCACCACTGTATCTGAAGAAGTGTGCATGCACACGAAAGCTCATACCAAGAACTAACTTAGTTGGTCTTTAAGGTGCTACTGGAAGGAATTTTTTTTGTTATAAATAATAGAGATATGCTGAGGACCAAGTTTTTAGTTTGATATTTGGTACCTTAAACGACTCAGGACCACAATACCTCAAGGACCACCTCTTTCCATATGAACCTACCCAGACCTTGAGATCATCTTCTGAGGCCCTCCTTCGTGTGCCTCCTCCTTGAGAGGTCCAGAGGGTAGCAACATGAGAAAAGGCCTTCTCTGCAGTGGTTCCCTGTCTGTGGAATGCCCTCCCCAAGGAAGTTCGCATGGCACCTTCATTATACATCTTTAGGCGTCAGGCAAAGACATTCCTTTTTAACTAGGCCTTTGGTTGATCTGATTTAGATCCTATGCCCTTTTAAAATGTGTTTTTTGGGGGAGGGGCTATTGTGTTTTTATTATGTATTTTGTGGCTTTATATCTTGATTTTATTCAGTGAACTGCTCTTATATCCCCTGGTATAGGGTTGTATATAAATTCAATTATTATTATTAGTAGTAGTAGTAGTACCCAGAATTTTGTATGTTGGCTACCAAAGAGGAGATAACTTATTGCTTGTATAGCATATTAGGAATTTTTAACTTGTTCCTGGACCCAAATTTGTTGCTGGAGGGTCAGGTAGCCTCAGTTGAAAGGAAAACCTTTTACCAGCTATGGCTGCTACACTCTCTGTGACCATTATTGGACAGGGATGGTCTGGCAACAGAAGATTCAGGCACTGGTAACCTCTAGACTTGATTACTGCAATGTGCAGTACATGGGGCTACCCTTGGGCCTGGTCTGGAGGCTCCAGCTGGTGCAAAATGCTTCAGTCAGACTATTGGTGGGGTAAGACTCTCCCTAGCACATAACACATATTAAGCTTTTCTATAGCACTAATTTTAACCCCTAGAAAAACATGCCATTACTATCAGATATTATGCCTTAGTTTAATATAATTTCTGCAACATCACCCATTGCTTTAACCCAGGGTTGGTAAGTATTCACCCAATGGAAAGCTGTCATGGATCGCCTTCCAGTAATAGATAGGCAAGATCACAAAGCTATTTTCCATGAAACAGGCAATATATTTCTTAGTAACCCCACTTGACTTTTCACCTTCCATTTTCCTCATACTTCCCCCCCACCCCGCAACGTTTGCAGCAAAAAAACAACAACTCTGCAACATCATTTGCCTGTCCTGACTGTGCAAAAGGCAAAAGGAGCTTGGTAAACCCAGCAGAAGAATTAAAATAAGATCACTGCACAGTCTTACTTTATAGTCTCAAACTTTGCAGCCTTAAATTGCATGCATACTATATTTGTAAGAAGCAGAATTCTGATGAGACATTTTGCTCCCTGATTTGATCTTCTCACAAAGAGTTGAAATTGCACAACTTTGCACAACATCAAAGTCCTTTTCCCTCCCTGCTGATAGTTGGGAGGGGACCTGAAGTGTTGGATAAAATCTGGCTGGAGGCTGCATATGGCCTGTTTTAACTTCTCTAGACTTTCTATTCCCCAGATAAATATGTACATTCATTAAAAGATGTTTGCATGCCCCAATTTTTTATTATTGGTATTTCAAAGCTGCATTCTTGTGCCTCTAAAATAAATTAATATTGCCAGCATCATACAAAACTTATTTAACTTACTTCTATTTTAAACATCAGAATTATAGGGTTAGTGACTTAAGTTGAACCATGCTCCCACTGATTTCAATGGGAGTTAAATCAAGTTATGATTAACTTGTCCCATTAAATTAACAAGGATCTAGTTCTAAGGACAAACAGGTCCATATACTAGTGGAAAGTAATTCCACTGTGCATTATGAGTGCGAGTTTGATTGTTTACTAATTTCCCCTGGCTGAATCCACTCACATTACATTGTATGCTGCCGCATGGAGTGTCCCGATAACTAGCTTTTTATAGAGTGCAAGTGGCTGCCAAAAGAAGGGGAACAGAAAAGACCTGGTGCAGACAGAAACAACAACCCAACTCTTTGCATCCCAGTGCAAAAGTGTATCTATCCACCTCAAAATCTAACAACTGGGCCTGTCTCCCAAACATGCAGGATGTCTAAAGCTTATGAATCACCTATGCAGATATGATTTCAAGCATGTAGGTCCTTGTTTCAAAAGTATTCCTGTCCCATGGAATACAGGGTATACTCTCAGCTAAGTGGGCACAGCATTGCAGCCTGAATGTTTGGATCTGCTCCATGTGCTGTTCCTCCTATTCTGTTCCAACCACAAGACCATCAGGGGCAATAATGAAGAAAGGAGCAGAGGCAAAGGGGTAGAGAAAGAAGAGAGTACTTTGGGATGTGTTGTGGACCTTACGAATGAAGAAAAGCAAATGTGGAAGGAACCAGAAGTGGAGACAACAGTTGAGAGAAGAAGGAAAGAAATGCTTTTACCTGATCTGTTTATCAGCCATTTAATACAGATTTGATCTTGTGGAAACTAGATTTGTTCTTCCAGAAGTCTTTCAAATTCTTTGGCGTTCAGTCACCTATTTCTGAGTTATCTAGAAAGAGACAGAAATAATACCAGGATTATAGTTTCTCATCATCGCTATAAGCTTTCTATAGTCAATAAGAGCACTTACAATCTCTGTCATCATCAGGAGAATCATGCAAAGTAGATTAGGCATCCTCATTTTTAGAAAAGGACCAAAAAACAAAGAGGCATAATCTAAAAACCCAAAGAAGAGTATAAAATATTTTATCTTCCACATCCAAATTTTAAAACAGTAAAGAGCAGTCTTCCAGGGTCTATGACCTACAAAGGAAGATGCCACGGTTCAAACATCCCAGGAAAACCACATGATCTGCCTAAGAAAGGGCATCCCTGGATTCCAGACTCTATTTTGAAGGAAAAGAATGAACGAATTCCTATGCCCCACAAATAACCCAGAGATGCATTTTAAATAAAAGCACACATTCCACTTATGTAAAAACACGCTGATTCCCAGACCGTCCGTGGGCTGGATTGAGAAAGCAATTGGGCCTTAGGTTGCCTACCCCTGCTTTACACCATTTTTACTTCTTGACACTCTGGCAAGTGGAAATTTGCAGTGATGTCTCTTCCCCCTCTACATGCTCTCATGAATGGACCATACCTCTCACATTCACACAAGTCCGCCCCTGGATTAGATTTCCTTTAAATCAGGTTAACGTTATTAAGTTGTCAGATTGTTGAAAAACTGGTCAAGTAGGCATGCCAACTTGTTGAACTAACCCCAATAATATTTTGAGTAAAGCATTACACAGCATTGTTTTAACACTGCAGACACACTGCAAATCATGCCTCTTGATCCTTATATTACTTTGCAATCTATACCAGATCCATATGGGAGTTCCTTCCATTTGTACTGGTTGTTGGCTCAAGTCATGCAGAAACAGCCTTATCTTGATTCTCAAAATGTTTACCAAACCTACATAGAGAACATCATTTCATTTGTAAGTTATTCATATTCACGTTTAATCGTGTGTTTTTTAAGAGCAGTATATTTCCAAGCTATTTTCTGCTGCTAACTGAAGCAAGACTGTGAAATCACACCCACTCATCTCGCGGTACCCAGGCGAGGCGCCTGCCCAAAGGTGCTAAACTGTTGTGCTGCCAGAAGGGGATCAGAAGAGCGGGGGGGGGGGGGCTTGCAGAGTTTTTAAAAAGAAGAAGTGCCTTCTGCATAAAACTCTTAATGAAGAAGAGAATTGTGGGGTAGAATGAAACAGTAAGTATGAAGAAAAAGGGGGTGCAGGGTGGAGTTTTTTTTCTAATGAACCTCATACTAAATGCAACTGTGCAGAGTTACAAAAAGAAGCAACAATAAGCCCCACATGCAAAACAGAAAAATTGAAAAAAGTAAATGCTGTATCCTAAAGTGACTGGGCATATCCTAAAGTGACAGCCTTAGATTTAGGAACCGTCAAGACCCTATAACACCGGTCCTGAAAGATGTACATTGGCTCCCAGTACGTTTCCAAGCACAATTCAAAGTGTTGGTGCTGACCTTTAAAGCCCTAAATGGCCTCGGCCCAGTATATCTGAAGGAGCGTCTCCACCCTCATCGTTCTGCCTGGACACTGAGGTCCAGCTCTGAGGGCCTTGTGGCAGTTCTCTCACTGTGAGATGTGAAGTTACAGGGGAAAAGGCAGAGGGCCTTCTCCATAGTGGCGCCCGCCCTGTGGAATGCCCTCCCATCAGATGTCAAGGAAATAAACAACTATCTGACTTTTAGTAGACATCTGAAGGCAGCCCTGTTTAGAGAAGTTTTTAATGTTTGGTTTTTTATTCTGTTGGGAGCCACCCAGAATGTCTGGGGAAACCCAGCCAGATGGGTGGGGTATAAATAATAAATAATAATAATTATTATTATTGTTATTGTTATTATAACCTGCTTAAAACTCACTCAGGATTTTCAGGCACACTGGTGTATTAATTTGATCCACAAACTTGTGGTGCATTTTGTATTTGGTTTCATAAATATTACTATTGTTTTATACTGTTTGCCAATATGATATATCATTGCTTTACTCATAGGGCAAGGTAAAATTAAAAATAACCCTGCAGTTTTAGATACTGAGCACCGCTCAATGCATGCTTTTTTGCAACAATCTCTACATATATATTTTCTCATTAAAAATTACATAACACATTTCGGAAAAGGGAAGGTATATTTGCTCTCTGCAGAGTTTGAAAATTTTGATCTATGTACATAATATCAACAGTGATATTGTTCCAACTGGATTAGGTAAGTGCTAGTGCAAATTCACACACACATGATTGTACTTTCTATTTCTTCACTATTCAGATATGGCATGTACTGTATTGTGTGAAACAGTTATTACAAATAAAGAAAACGCAGAGCTTTTGTTTTTCCCACCTCTGCCACCACACTGCAATATTTTTCAGCAGTGCTTCTTTTCTAGAAAAACAGGTGCAGGAACTGCCACTTCTCCCACTTTAAGGACGACTCAGTTTCCGTGGCTGGGGGAAAAACCCCTGCTTTTCAGTACAGACAGTTCACAAATTCATCAGTGTCCTAAAACAATGTCATCAAGTGATGAGAGAAGTGATGTAATCTGTGATAAATTAGCTCCTGAAACTTCAATCTGGTAGTATAAGGACAGCAGTACAGAACAGGTTAAGATGGAAGAATACAGGTTTGAAAACATTCTGCTGAATAGCTGAAGAGTTACTAAAGCAAATAAAGAAGACAATTGTCTCCATATAGGTAGTTTTTATTACTGAAAAGACTCTGGAAGATATGTTTGGCAGTGGGCTAACATGTGCTAGATTCTTCTAAGCAGAACCCTGCATGCTAGCCTGGATTCCTAATGCAAGTGATTGGGCGCTAGGGGAAGGTGGGGGGCTGTTAGCTGGATAGCCAACTAACTGCAATGCAATTGAGCTCTTAACCCACAAACTTGTCCATGCGTCAGAAGAAACAGTAGCATAAATGCACCCATTTCAAAACACCCCATTCACAGCATTACTGTGTTTCACCCAGATACAGAACAGCAATAGTAACCAGTGGTGACTGCTTCCCTTTTGGGACTGCTAGGGTGGAAGGCATGGAAAAAAACAACAGGAGTCAGAGCCAACTCATTCTAGTTTGTCCCTATCCTCTTCCTCCCTACAAAGGAGTATAAGGGCAACACTGAGATGGAGGAGGAGGAGGAAGAGGACAGTTAAAGCTACCCACCCCAAACTGGTTTTAACTAAGACAACAGGCAAGCAGAGGCTGGCTGAGGGCAGATTGAGATTGGTGGGGCAGTGTCACATTTGCCCTAATGGACTAGCCTCCTTTGATAGTGGGGGCTCATCCAGACTTGTCCCTGCCCTGCCGTTTTCCCCCTAGGGAAACTCATTATTTACCACTGAATCAGACCAAATGTCAATTGGGTTTTCTCTGAACTGACATTTGCCTGATTTATCACTGAAGAGCTGGCTTTCCTGGGGAAAGTGGCAGAGCAAGGGGGGAAACGCTTGGACCTGTGCTTTCTAAACATAGGACAAGTCTGGATGAGCCCTGATTTATGTATTGCCTCTAGGTAAAACGTGTTCTTTTATGACCCATTCCAGCCCACTGGAGAAGTGGGAAAGCATGAATTAAAAACTAGCCATTTCCAAGTCTGAAGCTGAACTGCATTCACCCTTTCTTAAGTGTTTTGCTTGCCTGACATCAGCTGGGAACCAGCTTCTGTCTAGCTATTCACCATATCTCATTTGCTCTCAGAGACATTCCACTTCAAATGACTGACATGCCCCGAAGGTAGAGAAGTTGTCAGTTGTTGGCATGGCAAACAGGTCAGCTACCATCCTCCCCACCAGAGGCTCTTCCTTATCAGCAACTTTGGAATGAGTTGTACAGATACATTTGCATTCTGTAAGGGAATTATATACATCAGTTCCAGAAGAGAGTTTGATTCTTGTTTACATTTATAAGTGTATCAAGTATCTGCAGAGAACCAAATATATTCCAAAAAAAGAAGATGTAATTTTGACAGACCAAGAAGATCAGCTTTCATTTAAATAATGAAAAATAAACAGGCTTAGGTGTTTCATCTGCATTATTTGTTTCAACTCTCTCATATCTCTGCAAACCACTGGTAGCATATTGACTGAGCCCTCCAGTCTAGTGGTGCTGTTGCAGAACGCCAGATCTGCCCATAAGGAAACCATGCTCATCAATGACTTGGTTGAGGGTGAATGGGCAGATCCAGCAGTCATTACAGAAACTTGGGCGAAAAAGCTGGGTGGGCCAGATCTTACCTAGCTATGCCCACCTGGGTTTTCAGCACTGCACCAGGCTAGACTGGGGTGGTCAAGGCAGGGGTGTTGCTGTTGTCCATAAGAGTGCCATCTCCCTGACCAGGAAATCTTTTGACCTTGAGACAGGCTTAGAGGGTATGCAGCTGGTGTTGGGCCAGAGAGGCAGATTGCGGATGCTGCTGGTCTACTGATCACCCTGTTCAGCATTTCTGGGGTATTGCTGGAGGATCCTAGGATAACAGGATATTTATACTCTCTGTACCACCACTGGCAGCCCTACTGGTGAAGAAATCATTGTAATTATATTATTAAGAGGTGCCAGAAGTTCTGAAAAGAGGAAAAGTTTATTCTATCTTTCATCATTTCAATAACAAGAAAGCACTAATTTTAAAGCACCTACTTCCCCCACCCATACACAAAAAAGAGCCCACTATCTGGAAGCAATCTTCAAGGTTAGCTGCAAGGTGGAAATTCAGAGGGAATGTGGAATGACGCATTATTTAGGAAGGCTTATCTTAATACGAACTGATGGCATGTGTATTTTTCTTTCGCCTTTCCCCCTCTGCTTTTCTTTCTTTGTTACACTGGTTGTTAAAAATAATTAAAAGACTTATCTTAACCAGGTGCTGAGAAAAGAATCAAAGGCAGTACTTCAAGCAAAGAGGAGCCTCCAAAATTATGTCATGGAGATCTTGGCTGAAAATCTACCTCTTTGAAGGAAAGGACCAAGGGATAATCTACTCCA